TGTGGGTCTGACACTTCTCTTCATCACGGTGCTTTATTCCAGGTAAGCTACAATATAATGGCTGAGGTTTTGTTATATGATAGACACCTATAGCAATAGATATGTTATTACCTTTTGATAGACGTTAATTAGGATCTTTGTATACGTTGTCAGATTCATGTGTGACATATTCATGAAAAATGAGATGATCAACTAGCAGAGATGGAGCTAACGACAATAAACGAATATATCTCACTAATACTTATTGGCGTAGTAAGCACTGGTCAAACAAGAAATCACCGATATCTTTACTTGTTTCGTTTCAGTTTGAGGACATCTGGAAGCTCAGACAAACTCGGTCCAAGTTCTGGCGGAACAACAGGTAAGGGGATGTGTACACATGACCCTTTCTATATATAAATGTCAAATTTCCAATTTCTAAAAAAATCACTTGTCATCAGTGCTGGGCCGGGTTGTTCAAATAAAGCCCGATTAGTTTTAATCCAGGTTAACTCCATAGGTTTTCTAAGAGTTAACCCGGGATTAGCGCTAATCGGGCTTTGAACAACCCGGCCCTGATTATAATAATGAATATGATTTATGCATCTGCTAATAAAACGCAGTATTAAAAGAAAGTTCTGTCCTTGCCACAGGTGATGCAGAAGAGGGCAGTAAAGTCAATGAAGACGAAGATGAGGCAGTTGTTTACAGTTATTCATTCTTCCATTTTGTTTTCTTCTTGGCGTCTTTGTATATCATGATGACACTAACAAACTGGTACAGGTAAGGATCACAAGCAGGCGTCTAACATGTCAAGAAATTAGAACAGGGGAAGCTCATGACCGGGGCTGGGAATCCGAGGTAAAAGTACCGAGGATGCCCGTCAGAAATTTTCAAAAAGTCCCCTAAAAGACCCCGAAAGTTCTGGAAAAAGGGCGGGGCTGACTGATTTTTAACCACTAAGAGATTGTACAACAAATATTATTAAATTGAATCAATGATAAAAACGCAGAGGAAAATCAAAATCGATGCGCGCTTTCTCTTCTTTTCCAACACCCTAAGAGATTGTAGACAATGCAAATTTCCAGAAACGACCGTTGAGTTCGCATAATTACAGAATTTCAGTAATTGATACCTTTTTTGCATTTTTCCAGCCCTCAAGGTTCAACTCTTGAAAACTTTCAAAGAAATTGGGGCTCTGTTTGGGTGAAGATGGTTTGTACTTGGTTATGTCATGTGATCTACATATGGACACTTGTCGCACCATTGTGTTTTCCAGATAGAGACTTTGGCAATGGTCCTCTCTAGAATGCATAGTTGATATAACTACTGTAATATTTGCACTCTGAAGCGATAATCCTGGTGATTGCACTGTCAGTTATAATTTAAAAATGAAGCCCTTAAAAGTTAAAATATCCCGTGGGAGGTACACGCACACGATTGTTGACTACTGGCAAATTGGCTTCAACGACTTGAAATAGATTTTCTAAAGGGAAAACTCGACGTACATTTTATAAATGTGGTTTTCCAAAAAAAAATTTGTTGTGCATGAAGTCGACCAAAAACTTGTTTTATGCTCAAAGGCAACCATAAACTTAATTAAATATAATAAGTATTTTAAGCGTATATATGTACTGCAAGTAGTTATATAGTTTTCTTGCATGTGTCAGCAAAACAACTTTATGTAGTAGTATAGCGGAAAAAGCAAAATAGTCTGCCCTTAGTTTGCTCTAAATGACCTATAGAGAGCCCATTATGTAGTCACCAAGAAGGGGTTGTATACTGCAGCAATGCTGTCTTTATGGCTTCTATGAATGATTTTCAAGTTTCAGGAAATATGAAATGACGGAACTAGCGCTGAGGTATTTTAAAAAAAGTTGTTCGTGTTTCATTTTTTTTAATGATTTTCAAAAGTTGGACAAATCCAAAGTAAATACAGTCATGAAGAATAAAAGGAAAGCATTTGGATTTGTTGTATGTATTTTGTGAACCTCTAACAACAGTCTCTTCTTAATTGTAAAGAACTATTAATATCTCAAACATACTACTCGAGTATAATATTGTCAAATCCTATTTCTACGCTGTCTAATTATTCGTAATTGTTGAAAATAAGATCAAATGAAAACATTTCCTAAAAAAATTTCTCCTGTACGTCTTTTAGGACCAAACATTAAGTGAGATGTAGACAGTTTGATTTACTACATTTATTTACTCTCCCGATGAAGTTGACGCATTCTTTCTTAAAAGCGAAAGTTGCATTCTCTGACATCCAATGTTTCCTTCCAATGATGCCTTTGATTTCCTTCCATCTTCAATATCGTCTTTGGTAATTTTATAATTTTTTGTGTTATCATAAAATAACCGAGTGCCAGGTGATATGCCTAGTGACAACTTGCTCAGATAGTCGTACTTTGAGGTCGTATTGAGAACGAGGTCCAACAGGTAACGCATTCCCACATCAATATCAGAAGCAATAGTCTTTAAAGATAAAAGATCATCTGCATGATTACGAAGTGTCAAAATAGGTAAGTACGTTAAACGGAATTTTGTAAAATTCGCATGTACTATATCCTGCATACGACAAAAACTTAAGCTATCCTTTAATATAATGTGAGATACTTCTTTCAAAAAATAATGCAAAGCAGAAGAGATTTTATGAATGAATCGTGAACACAGTTTCATCTCGGCACATTTGTTTAGTTTTTCTTTGATGGCTTTGGAAAGGACTTCATTATGACCAATGACTGTGTTTGTAATCTTCTCAAGGTGTCCAAAAAATTCATCTGTATTTCGAATAATTTTACTATTTAAATTAATCATTTCGTCTTGAGTCAAAGTTGATTTAGCTTGTGTAAAGTCATTAAAATCCATGACAACGTTTAACAGTAACAAACGAGCCTTCACATCCAAGTCAGGAAGAGATAGAATAAATTCCTTCAACTCTACAGATGATTTCACATACTCAAGTATTATTTCACTGGCATTGCCATAAATTCTACTCCTATTGTAACAAGTATTCCAAGGGTCATGCTCGTACAAAAGTAGCAGATCTTCAAACATATTTGTATTGAAATGGAATGGATAACTACCGAATAGATGCCTGTATAACACATGATGCTCTGCCTCCAAACTCAGTGGATAACGTAGTTTACCACCATAACTCTCAATTATTTCAACCGTTTTAGTCCATTTGTCTACCTTCACCTCATCTGAAATTTCTGAACCAGCACTTAGTTTGGCCAAATATAAAGGTGTAATTCCATTCACATCTGGACAATCCACTTTGATTCCGTAACGTTTCGAGTTTTTGAGCAGTTTCTTGACAAAGTCAAACATACCGCGGTATGCTGCAATGTGGTATATAGTAAGTTGTTTTGAGCTTCCATCGCAAGTGACTTTAACATTTGGAGTTCGATCTAGTAACAACAAAGAGGTAGTTGATGCCGAATTGTATAAAGCAGTTTTTGCATTTACTGTATCGAGTTGGTCCGTCAACGATGGAATACCACATGCCCCTAAAAAATTCTTTGGTAGACCAGCAAATGATACAGCCAAGTCTAAGACTGTAAGATTAGTATCTCTTGTTCTGGCTTTGGTATCAGCTCCCCAAGAAAGAAATTCCTTTATGGCAACTATGTTACCTCCTTGAGCTGCACGATGAAGGGGTGTATATCCTTCCTTATCAAGACATCTATTGATGATTCTTATACCTAGAGGATGGTTAACAATGGCCTTGGCAAGAGGCCCAGGTTTTCTTGCAGATCCATCAATAGCCATGAAGAAAAAGTTATGGGAATCATTTGCTGGTGGCCAGTAAGCAAGTAGATGAAGTTCTGATTCTAGAAATGGAACGTTACAGTCAATGGTAATTTTCATATCTAAGAGCCATTTCTCCATGTTTTTGACCGGTTTACCTTTTTTAAGGTAAGATCGAAATATCTTTTTCAATGTTCTTTGTTTCTCTCGGACAAATATATCGAAAAACAAATACATTGCATTTAGAGTAATCATCTGGCATGCATCGTATTTAAATACTAGATCATTGAAACTGTGATTCCATATAGAATACCCAAATTCTTCATCAAGGATGTGGTTTGGCATCATTTTCATCAGTACAATACTAACGCAATGTAAGCCGCCATTGACTGCCATATGCAGGGGTGTTCTTCCAAATTTGTCTTTTGCGAGAAACAGCGAAGGTTCATTTATGTGAGTCGAAAACTCCATAAAATTACGGCAATTGTCATAAATCGGAATAGCTAAATGTATTATTTCTGAGCTAGTGTGTTGTAGAAAGAACATTGTCTTATCAGATGATATGTAAACATAAATGTTTTCATTCAGAAAATAAATTTCTTTTTCACAAGGGAGAGCAGATGGTATGGAATAGTTTGCTGCCTTCGTGCAAAATACATCGGCATTCAACATCCAATAATGAACGATTGTCATACCATTTGCATCGAGAGCCGAGACATTTGCGCCGTCTTTAATCAAGGCTTTTGCTTCCTTGACATTTTCGCATGCCGCAGCACTGTGTAAAGGAGTAGATCCATTTTTTGCACTAGGGCTATTGATATGAACATCTCTGATATAATCAACAAGCCACTGAATAAAATCGTGTTTCCCATGACAGGCTGCTATGTGTATCAAAGATGAGCCGTTACAATCAGCTTTAGTAGACAACTTTACGCTTTGTTGTAACAGCATTTGTGCACTTTCGATGTGACCAAATTGAGCCGCAACGTGGACTGGTGTATGACCACAAGAACACGTTTCTCTAAAATATTCTTCTTCTTCTCTCAGACTTAGATGTACATGCTTCTTTATCAAAAACAAATACGAACTGCTTGTTGTTTTCTCCTGATGCTGAAATCTAGAGCATTTTGAGTCAACTCTTGCTCCAGCTTTTATCAACATTCTAATGACTTCGAGGTCATTATTGCGAGCTGCAATGTGCAATGGCGTCCTTCCGGTAAAGTCTGCACAATGGATTGCAGAACCAATCCGTGCAATCAAAACACGAACAACATCTGTATATCTTTTCCAAACAGCAATACGCAATGGTGTTTCACAATATACAAGCGACTGGTCGTCAACCAAGAGATAATCCAATCCGCTTCCGATTTTAAATGTCTCATTTAACAAGGTGTCAGCAAGATTTGGAATCTTTGAGAATCTTTCTGCAACATCAAACCACAAACTCTGGTAACGAGTCTTTCCCCCAAGCCAATAAAAGGAGCCGTCGCATCTCAAACACTTCCCGGTGACATTTTTCTTGACTAAAAACTCGACAACATCTTTGTGTCCATTCATGGCTGCATGATGAAGAGCAAACTGGTCAWTCYTTGCACYYTTTTGGTACAACATCTTCACAATTTCCAWATGRCCRTTTTCTGCKGCMAGMTGAAGAGCAGTCATACCAACTCCATTCACGTCRTCGATATTTGGGTGACTTTCAAGAAGATARGYCACAATTGACAGGTGACCACCCTGTGCAGCAGCATGYARCATCGAAGAGYTCCAAAACTCACGCTTCGCAGTYWTCACRGGATCTTCCAAACTTATGAAAGGAAGTGGTGGTGGAAGATTTGTTTTGTGAGTGACATTTGCACCATGGTCCACTAGGAGTTTGAGATTTCCAAGAGACCCACTACTTGCAGAAACAAAAGCCGGAGTAAATCCGTTCGAATCTGTAGGGTCCACATTGTTACGAAAACAAGGCAAAAAGAGTTTTATCACTTCTGGATTGTCTATTCTTGCTGCAAAGTGAAGAAAAGTGCTATTGTCCCTATTAAAGTTTTGGATGATTTTGGATGAGATTCTGATAAATTCGTTTTGGAACTTATCAGAAACATCTCCAAAAGCAATATGTTGGGCTAAACTGAGCACCGTATCTTCCAAATCAGACGTTTGGTTATTTTCTATTGCATCCATATAGAAAAATATCAACTTTCTGTGGCCAGCCTTTTTGCTGACAACATATATACTTTTATTTTCGTCCGACACCAACCATTCCATCAGTGATTTGTGGAACAAAGAAATCTTGTTGTCATCTGAGTAACGAAGAAAATGCGACAGGCTGTCAAGATCTTTACTAAAGTACATGTAGTCCAAGTCAGGCTTTTGTAATGTAATTGTTTTGAAAATTTCGCCCATCCTAAATGGTTTTGTTGATGCAACTAGAATTTCTAGAACTCCTCGAATGTGTCTGAAACTTTCTCCAGTTGGAAATATACGACGAAAATATCTTTCGTAAACTCCTCCCAAACTTTGGGACATTCTTGATGAAATTTGGGAGTCGGGCTTTATATATTTCACCAAGAGTTTGACAAACAGAAAGTTTCCTTGGCTGATTTTCACGAGGTTGTCAGATAATTCGATACTTGAAGACTCACGAAATGACAGAGTCCAATACGATCGAATTCTGTCCATAAAATTCATACGCGGATAAAGGTGTCTGTCGATGTAGAACGCAATGTCATCTAAGTTTCGAGGATCGGATGTGTTGATATGAAGTTGTCTAGCCAGTGATCTTGGAAAAGGCTTCACAACAATAGAGTCATTCCTGGTTGTTGCTATAACCTTAACTGATGTTGGAAACTCATTTACTTTATCTTTCAGTAAGTCAATAATAGTGACATGATGGCTTTGCTGTGGGATGCACTCATCAAGAGCATCTATCACAATGTAATACAACTTATTTGGATTCTTAAAAGCTTTTTTTAGAGGAACCACAATAGCTTCTATGAAGCACTTGTAAGGATCTGACTCACAGTTACGTCCCTGTAAGACTTCCATCAAAGTACCATTTAGAATAACATTTTCATACTCACGACTTCTTCTTGATATCATATCTACGATGTTTTTAATAAACCTTCCTGGTTCTTGGGTTTCTTTACTGTAATGCTGGCAAAGATGATAAGCGATAATGTTCTCGTGGATTGCAGCCTCAGAAGTGCGCAAGCATATAAGATTCGCTGCGACCGCTGACTTTCCTGAACCGGGTTCCCCAATTATAAGCAAGACTGGTGGATCCAATAACCCTAGTGTAACTTTGACATCGTCATAAAACCAACGACGCCCAACAAAATCTTCTCTTGCAGCATTAAGATGCGTGCTAAAGTTGAACTCTCTAAGGTTAAAAGGTAATGGGCGATCTTCGTTTGGACATCCTGTATAAAAAGCACAAACATAGCATTCAGTTAAAATGGGTTGCTAGAGTCTCTTCCGCCGTGACTCATGTTGTTGAATGTGTTGAATACGCAAAAACCTTTGGTTAGCAATTATATTTCATGATAAATTGGGTTATGGGAAATATATTGTCTTCAATGAATGCAAGTTCGGGGAATTTCCTCATACGCCCAGCGATTCCAAGAGCAGATCGAAAGAAGAGCCAAGGACTGAACTACTAATTATTCTCCAAATTCCATTGCAAAACAGACTTAGCCACGAATCTATTTAGAAATTGTTTGGTTATTCTAACGTTTTCTATTCAAAGAATAAGGCTATCCCCCCCCTGGACTATAATTTAATCTTAAAGAACAATCAAGAGCATTTTCATTTTCATTGGTGGGAACTAGCGGTAAACTAGTGTGAGCTGCGTCGGTGTTTCTAAAGAAACAGTTATGTAAAAAGATAAATTTAACACCGTAAAAAAGTATGTGAAATAACTTACTGACGTTTCGGACGTTAATCCTTCGTCGGAGTAAAAGTGGCGAAGGATTAACGTCCGAAACGTCAGTAAGTTATTTCACATACGTTTTTTATGGTGTTTAATTTGTCTTTTCATTTCATTGTTGTTTTTTATACTATACTTACGTTCAAGACTGTGTGAGGATGGGTCAAGCTGTACCAATACCAGAAACAGAATAGACAGCCAAAGAACCATCTTTGTGTTTTTTCTTATACTATTCACATTCACAAAAATCATGGTAACAAACGTAGTGGCAAAAACGAAGAATGCGCCAGGTTTTTGGGTATTGCTCAATGCCTCCAGAGACTTTATACATTCTGTCAGATTTTTAACACGACTTTTTAATACTTTTATGGTCTTCTTGTCTTTCTTCTGTTCAGTGTCGAGGGCTGTCATCTCAGACTGCAAGCCATCCATCTCATTAGTCATCTCACCCATATAGTCGCGTATTATTTGACGCTCCAATTTTTGTGCGTCAAAATGGCTGTTGATTATCTGTATTGAGTTCAGAGCCTTCTGGGCATCAGGATCTGCATACAGTGCACCAGCATTTAGAAGTTGCTCAATAGTATGAATAGCATTATTTTTCTCTTTGAGATTTAGTTCAAAGTTTGGATTATGCCCCCAGTTAATATTTCTAACATCTCTAACTCCCTCTGCAAAGTGGCGAAGTGGTGCAAAATTCTTACACCAACACAAAATGTTTAAAAGGCCTGTGGTGTCAGTACTTGAAGCATCTACAACTACTGCCTTCTGCTTTCCAAGATCAGACATAAATAGCTTAGCAATCTCCCAGCTTCCTGATAGTGGGTCAGTCCATTTGGACGCATCGCTTTGGTGCCACTTAGGCTTGTTGCTCCCATGATATAACTGTAATGCCTTGGCCCAATCACAGACATGCATATCATGCCAGGTATTGTTCTTTCTGCTTTTATCATAACAGCAGGTGCAAGGAGGAAGACCACGTCCCATCAACGTGTTGTATATAGCTTGCATTTCTCGTGTGATGAAAGGACGAATCCCTTCATTCATCAGGTCGAAAGCGTGACCTACAGCCAACCAATTTTGATATTCATCCTTGAAGGGTTTACTTCCCAGGCTACTTGTCGTGACAGAAGCCATCTTCACCATCGACAAGGTTGCAAACTGCAATAAAAGGTAATCGAAGGAAAATGAAATACTCGAGCTATTCTACACATCGAATCAATCATACGCATTCCCAAAATATGGATTTTCACCCAAAGTTACTCAAAATATGGATTTTTAAAAGTTAAAGAAATTAAGGCAACATTTGACAAGCATTTGTATCTCGGGTGATGTCAGCCCTCCGAAAGATTACTTAAGTCAGTCTCCAATGGGCTCAATGAATTTATTGAAGTCCATTCAACTCAACTTCCTCAAGTCCTTTCCTCTTCTGGATACTTCGATGACATTTAGTCTGGCAAAGACGGCAAATTTAACCGCTCTTTATTTGTCAAGCCCATCGACAATCAATGCATTATTCTCACGTCTTTTCGACCTGTTCTTTCTGATTTCAATTCAGTGAACTCGATATGCATGATTTTGCAAACGTGCACAATAATTTTGTTTATAAGGCAAATATTCATCCAACAATGTTTGGCAGTGTTAACTACGAATTTGAGGTATTTCTGTGCTTTAATGTGGCCTTGTTGCTTATACAATCGATAAAGACAATAAAAACAAGCAATACGACAAAATTTTGTACGTATTAAAACATGTAAGGAACCTCAGGACGAGAAACCGGAAACACTTAAATCGGATTGAGAATAACAGTTTATAAGGCTTATCATGTACTAAAAAGTGCAAAACAATGACGATTAGTTGACTATTGTTCAAATTTTCGCTTCGGTATTGAAATATGTTGACTAATTATGATGTATAGACGATATTTATTTTCTAAGTTTTCCGAATTTGTATCATCAAGACTGTGTGCGCTATCAACCATGAATGTTCTAATGTCTTCTCAAAACAGAATTTTTACCTTGTTTTCGACCTTTTTCTTTCGGTTTTCGATGGTAAATGCTCCACACACTGTTGATGACACTGGAAGGGTAAAGCTGATCTCGCTATACTTCGTGAACAGTTTACTAAGTTCAATGTAATTTATCCGCAATCAATTAGCGTGACCAATTTATACAGGAATCTTTTACATTGCATTATTGGCCACGCCAGAATTTAGATATTTTGGTTCAGTGACCATGCACAAAGGAATTGCAGACGAGGCTCCAGACGACGAGCCTGAATCGGACAACTGGGAAACCATGCCTCACAACGGACAATTGTATTGTATTTGTATTTGTATTTTATATTTGTATATTATATTTGTATTTTACATATAGTGAAGAGAAAGGGACTATGGAACTAGATACCAACTTTATCAAAGTAGACGATGATCGTTACATTTCTAACCCCTTGCTTTCTGCAATATTGTGGAACAGGGTTACGTCTTGCTACCTATTTCTTCAGCGTTTTGATCAGATAGGCTGAGGAACCCAACGACTAACTCACGTGACAAAACACCCACGACAAGCTGATCCGCATTCTAGTCGTATTGTTTGCAAAGGCTGCTCTTGGAGCCAGATCCAGAACAGTTCTGAAAAACACCGGGCAACGAATCCAGCCTGGATACGAATAATTGACGTTTCTATGTACGAATTCGAGGGAATGCCACCCAATCAACATCATCTTCCCTCACTTTCTGCCACAGGCGATTCGGCAGAAGGGGGGAGTAAAGTTAATGAAGACGAAGATGAAGATGAAGCAGATGTTTACAGTAATTCATTCTTCCATTTTGTTTTCTTCTTGGCGTCTCTGTATATCATGATGACATTAACAACTGGTACAGGTAAGGTTCACAAGTCTAACATGTCAAGAACAAGAAATAATAACAAGGGAAGCTCCTTGAAGGCAGAATCAGACAGCTGAAAGCGTTTACCTTCAACCATCGCGTGCAACCTACCTACTGGTCATTCTTAAAATACGGCTAGAACTGTCGTAGGGCTATTAAACAATTATTTTGAGTCTCTACGAAAGTTGTAGGCCGTGCTGAAAGAATGCCTTGGGCGGGTTGCAAAGTTTGGCCGTCTAATTCGGCTTTTAGAGTCAGTTGACCTTGTAATCATATTGCCTTATGTATCTTTTATGGACGTTTCTTCACTCCATGAAGAAATTTTTAAATTTGCCGGCTAAAATTTGAATCAGTCGAATAATTGTCTTGAATGATAAGTTATTTTGTCATAAGCCATTTTGTCACTGAATTTAAAGCGGCCCTTGTACTCGGTCGCGTCAATTTAAGATGAGCATTCCTTCATCAGAGAACGCGACTTAGCGCCAGTTTACCGCTAGTTCGCACCAATACTTTACCATCTTGCAAGGAACTCTCCAAGACTTTAGAAATAAGCTGGTCCAATTCAAGATCTACCATAGCTGTTTTGTGCTTACAGTATCCCAGACCTTTGTCGTGTCAAAAAAATCAATCGTTTACATGGCTATGCATAGTCTACTCGGGTTTTTTTTTCATAGCGTTACAAATATCTGCGTAGCGCTTTTTTGTTCCCGCAACAGAAGGTGAAGATAGTTCGTAACTGTAAACAGCATTATTTTGTGCGCATTTGTGCTATTTTTAACTGAGGATTTGCAGATAACTCGAAATGCAAGCATTTGCAGATTTGGGGAACTGGTTCACTGGTATGATCTCAAGACCTCGAATTCCGAGAGATTTCGTTACAGACAAACAGGCTGTGTGACGGGATTCCTGTCTGGTCACAGACAAACGCGAGACGAATTGGCAAATTCAAAGGAAATTGTTCGCGAAGTAACTGGAGAAAGAATGGATTAGCTTTACCCTTAAAGTGCCATCTACAGTGTTTGAAGCATTTTGTATGAAAAGCTGAGGGGAGAAAGGTATAGCCAAGTTAAATAATCTGTTTCGAGTAGAGTCAGTATTACATGTAACATAACCTCGATCTCGCCAGCCATCATTTCAATACAAAAAACAAACACAGAACATATGTTAAGTTTTGTAAGTTATTATCAGTCATTATGAAGTGAAGATTGAATTAACGGTCAATTCATTGTCGGTATTTTACAAATTGTCGTTAATTTTTCGTGAACTGTTAACGTTCCCAATTCTCCAATCCTATAAAAGTGTTTCCGCTTTCTCCTGGGACTGTCTTTATGTACGTAAAAATATCGTTGCTTAAAACATGTAAGTTATAAACTTAATTGTATGGTTGCCAGTAGAAATGGCCTGAATTCAATCCAGTGTTCGTTCTTCAAAAAATGTTGCATCGAAGATTCATTAATCCAACATAATTATCAGTACAGACAGAAACTCGCGTTACAGACAGGGTCGAGACATGGTTTTTACTCGTGATTCCGTTTTTGTACTAAACTTTTATTCCTGATACCAAATTTTAAAAATTTGATCCCTAATTCTACAAAATTTTAGTGAATTATATTTATATTTTGCAAATTTTTCAGGACGAACTCAGTACTTGTGATCCCGATCCCGAAACAAAAATTCTGATCCCTGATTCAACACATCCCATATGTCACGACCGTGTTGCAGACTAAAGTCATTTTAACACTATCTTGATAGAGTTCGCTGAATTGAAATAAAGTGAAGATGCTATATTCTGTGAATAAATTATGAAACTTCTAGTTAAAAAGATAGTTAGAGTTATGAAATGTAATGTCTGAGCGGAGTTTTAATACTTATGCACCAGATTATGATCCGCTTCGTAAAATCACCAATCACGAATCAGACATATCTTGACAAGGCTTGTTAAGGTATGATTTAGGTAAAAATCGCTATGTATAATTCGTTTTTGAGAATATTTGATTTTTCGCAAGAAAATCACGTAATAATGCTGGGCCTATGCATGACAAATGCTTCAATTCTAAAAAAATAGCATGAAAAAATAGCCAAACTTTATACTGAACTCATTTGCAGTAGCTTTACTAAAAATGTGGCTTCTAGAGTAATATCTAAGTTATACTTATTTTCTGGCCATATTGTCCAAATATTGTGACATTGTCTGTTACCTGTCCTCCTCGTGCCGTGTGGCACATAGGGACTTGTGTTATTATCTGAAGACTGGAAATATTTTCAAAAAACAACTACACAGCGCTTGTTACCTAATTAATAATATCTTGATAAGCACGATATGAACAGATTATATTTTTGCGCCAAGTGGCTCTTAAAATCATTATCACAGAACACAGGTAGCCAACCGCATTGAACCACTCAATATTTTGCATTATAGGATTACCCCATTTGTTCCTTTATCATGTCAAGTGGTCTTGGAAGCAAACCCTTCAAGGATGAATATCAAAATTGGTTGGCTGTAGGTCATGCCTTTGACATGATGAACCAAGGGATTCGACCCTTTATTGCAAGAGAAATGCAAGCTATATACAACACGTTGATGGGACGTGGTCTTCCTCCTTGCATATGCTGTTATGATAAAAGCAGAAAGAACAATCCCTGGCATGATATGTGTGTCTGTGATTGGGCCAAGGCATTGCAGTTATATCATGGGAGCAACAAGCCTAAGTGGCACCAAAGCGATGCCTACAAATGGACTGACCCGCTATCAGGAAGCTGGGAGATAGCTAAGCTCTTTATGTCTGATCTTGGAAAACCAAAGGCAGTAGTTGTAGATGCATCAAGTACCGACACTACAGGTCTTTTAAACATTTTGTGTTGGTGCAAGAATTTTGCACCACTTCGTCACTTTGCAGAGAAAGTCAGAGATGTTAGAAATATCAACTGGGGACATAATCCAAACTTTGAACTGAGTCTCAAAGAGAAAAATAATGCTATTCATACTATTGAGCAACTTCTAAACGCTGGTGCGCTGCATGCAGATCCTGATGCCCAGAAGGCTCTGAACTCAATACAAATAATCAACAGCCACTTTGATGTTCAAAAACTGGAGCGTCAGATAATTCGCGACTATATGGGTGAGATGACTAATGAGATGGATGGATTGCAGTCTGAGATGACAGGTCTTGACACTGAACAGAAAAAAGACAAGAAGACCATTAAAGGACTAAAAAGGCGTATTAAAAATCTGACACAATGTATAAAGTCTCTTGAGGCATTGAGCAATACCAAAATACCTGGCCCATTCTTCGTTTTTGTCAGTACTTTGGTTGCAATGATTTTTTGGAATATAAATGGTATAAGAAAAAACACAAAGATGGTTCTTTGGTTGTGTATGCTGCTTCTGTTAGTGGTACAGCTTGACCCATCCTCACACAGTCTTGAACGTAAGTATAGTAAAAAAAAACAATAAAACGAAAATGTTATTGATTGTTGTTTATAATTACATGTAATTTAATTCCAGTCCAGCAGACGGGGATGGTCGCCTTTCCTAGAGGATATAGAATAGTCAAACCAAACAAATTCACATAGATTCGAGGCTAAGTCTCTTTGCACTGGAATTTTGAGAATAGTCAGTAGTCCAATTCTGAACGCTCTTCGGAATCTCTGCGGATAACAACTGAGGAGATTCGGGATCGGTTTGAAACAAGAGTGAAGAATGACTAAACAAAAAATGAAAGACTTCAACGAATAAGCTTCCGGTCCCCAGTCCTTGTCGATTTTTGAAAAGTATTTCACAAAAGATTTGAATTATCCCAAATACTTAACATGAGTCTGAAGAAAGTTAATTGCAGTTCCTTTTCATTGAATGCTTTTCTTTTTCCAGGGTGTCCAAGCGAAGATCGCTCATTACCTTTTAACCTTAGAGAGTTCAACTTTAGGACGCAGCTTAATGCTGCAAGAGAAGATTTTGTTGGCCGTCGTTGGTTTTATGAYGATGTCAAARMCMYACTRGRGTYACTGGATCCACCAGTCTTGCTTATAATTGGGGAACCCGGTTCAGGAAAGTCAGCGGTCGCAGCGAATCTTATATGCTCACGCACCTCTGAGGCCGCAATCCATGAGAACATTATCGCTTATCATCTTTGCCAACATTACAGTACAGAAACCCAAGAACCAGGAAGGTTTATTAAAAACATCGTAGATATGATCTCAAGGAGAAGTCGTGAGTATGAAAATGTTATTCTAAATGGTACTTTGATGGAAGCCTTACAGGGACGTAACTGTGAGTCAGATCCTTACAAGTGCTTCATAGAAGCTATTGTGGTTCCTCTAAAGAAAGCTTTTAAGAATCCAAGTAAGTTGTATTACATTGTGATAGACGCTCTTGATGAGTGCATCCCACAGCAAAGCCAACATGTTACTATCATTGACTTACTGAAAGATAAAGTACACGAATTTCCAATATCGGTTAAAGTTATAGCAACAACCAGGAATGACTCTATTGTTATGAAGCCTTTTCCACAATCACTAGCTAGACAGCTTCATATCAACACATCCGATCCTCGAAACGTAGATGACATTGCGTTCTACATCGACAGACACCTTTATCCGCGCATAAATTTCATTGAAAGCATTCGATCCTATTGGACACTGTCATTTCATCATGAGTCTTCAAATTCCGAGTTATCTGAAAATCTCGTGAAAATCAGCCAAGGAAACTTTCTGTTTGTCAAACTTTTGGTTAGATATATAAAGTCAGATTCCAAAATTTCGTCAAGAATGCCCCACAGTTTGGGAGGAGTTTACGAAAGGTATTTTCGTCGTGTTTTTACAAATCGTGAAAGTTTCAGGCACATTCGATGGGTTCTAGAAATTCTTGTCGCATCAACAAAGCCATTGAGAGTGGACGAAATATTCAAAACAATTCAATTGGGCAACCATGCCTTGGACTACACTTATTTTATCAAAGATCTTGAGAGCCTGTCGCATTTTCTTCGCTACTCAGACGACAACAAGATTTCTTTGTTCCACAAATCACTGATGGAATGGTTGGTGTCGGACGAAAATAAAAGTATATATGTTGTTAGCAAAAAAGCTGGCCACAGAAAGTTGATATTTTTGTATATGGATGCAATAAAAAACAACCAAACGTCTGATTTGGAAGAGGCGGTGCTCATGTTAGCCCAACATATTGCTTCTGGAGATTTTGTTGGAAAGTACCAAAAAGAATTTATCAGGATATCATCCAAAATCATCCAAAACTTCAAAGGTTTTGATAGGGACAACACCTCTTTTCTTCACTTGGCAGCAAGAATAAACAATCCAGAAGTGATAAAACTCTTTTTACCTTGTTTTCGTAACAATGTGGACCCTACAGATTCGAACGGATTTACTCCGGCTTTTGTTTCTGCAAGTAGTGGGTCTCTTGGAAATCTCAAACTCCTAGTGGACCATGGTGCAAATRTYASTCACAAAACAAATCTTCCACCACCACTTCCTTTYATAAGTTTKGAAGATCCYGTGAWRACTGCGAAGCGTGAGTTTTGGARCTCTTCGATGYTRCATGCTGCTGCACAGGGTGGTCACCTGTCAATTGTGRCYTATCTTCTTGAAAGTCACCCAAATATCGAYGACGTGAATGGAGTTGGTATGACTGCTCTTCAKCTKGCMGCAGAAAAYGGYCATWTGGAAATTGTGAAGATGTTGTACCAAAARRGTGCAARGAWTGACCAGTTTGCTCTTCATCATGCAGCCATGAATGGACACAAAGATGTTGTCGAGTTTTTAGTCAAGAAAAATGTCACCGGGAAGTGTTTGAGATGCGACGGTTCCTTTTATTGGCTTGGGGGAAAGACTCGTTACCAGAGTTTGTGGTTTGATGTTGCAGAAAGATTCTCAAAAATTTCCAATCTCGCTGCCGCATTGTTAAATAGAACATTTGAAATCGGAAGCGGATTGGATTATTTCTTGGTGGACGACCAGTCGCTTGTATATTGTGAAACACCATTGCATATCGCTGTTTGGAAAAGACATACAGATGTTGTTCGTATTTTGATTGCACGAATTGGCTCTGCAATCCATTGTGCAGACTTTACCGGAAGAACTCCATTGCACATTGCAGCTCGCAATAATGACCTCCAACTCATTGAATTATTGATTGAAGCTGGAGCAAGAGTTGACTCAAAATGCTCTAGATTTCAGCATCAGGAGCAAACGTCAAGCAGTTCGTATTTGTTTTCTATAAAGAAGCACGTACATCTAAGTCTGAGAGAAGAAGAAGAATATTTTAGAGAAACGTGTTCTTGTGGCCATACACCAGTCCACGTTGCAGCTCAATTTGGTCAAATCGAAAGTGCACGAATGCTTTTAAAACAAAGTGGGAAGTTGTTTGCTAAAGCTGATTGTAACGGTTCATCTATGATACACTTAGCAGCCTGTCATGGAAGACACGATTTTATACAGTGGCTAGTTCATCATATCAGAGATGTTCATATCAATAGCCCTAGTGCAAATGGATCTACTCCTTTACACAGTGCTGCAGCGTGTGAAAATGTCAAGGAAGCAAAAGCCTTGATTAAGGACGGCGCAAATGTTTCGGCACTCGATGCAAATGGGATGACAATCGTTCATTATTGGATGTTGAATGCTGATATATTTTGCACAGCAATATCCCATTCCGTATCATTTCCTTTCCCTAGTAAATTAAAAACATATTTTCTGAATGAAAACATTAATATTTACATATCATCTGATAAAACAACTTTTCTTCTTCAATACGCAGACCCAGAACTAAAATCAGTATTTTTACCGATTCATGACAACTGCCGTAATTTTATGGAATTCTCGACTCACATAAATGATTCTTCGCTGTTTTTCGCAAAAGACAAATTTAGAAGAACACCCCTGCATATGGCAATCAATGGCGGATTGCATTGCGTTGGTATTGTACTGATGAAATTGATACCAAATCACGTCCTTGATGAAACATTTGGGTATTCTATATGGAATCACAGCTTCAATGATCTGGTATTTAAAGACGATGCATGTCAGCAAAATACTCTTTGCACTATGTTTTCGTTTTTCGATATGTTTGTCCGAAGGAAAAAAAGTGGCGTTTTGTTAGACGTTAAGTCCTCAACATTGAAAAAAATATTTCGCTCTTACCTTAAGAAAGGCAAAAGGGTCAAAAGGATCGAAAGATGGCTTTTAGATATGGAAATTCCAGTTACCATTGACTGTAACGTTCCATTTCTAGAATCAGAATTTCATTTACTTTCTTACTGGCCACCAGCAAATGATGCCGATAACTTTTTATTTACGACTATTAATGGATCTACAAGAATACTTGGACCACTTGCCATGGGAATTATTAACCATCCTCTCCGAAGAAACATCATCAACAGTTGTCGTGATAAGGAAGGATATACTCCCCTCCATCGTGCAGCTCAAGGAGGTAACATAATTGCCGTTAAGGAATTTCTTTCTTGGGGAGCTGATACCAAAGCCAGAACAAGAGATACTAATCTTACAGCCTTAGACTTGGCTGTATCATTTGCTGGACTACCGAAGAGTACTTTAGAGGCGTCTGGTATAAAGCTATTCACGGATCAGCACTCTGAGTTGAATTTCAAAACTGAATTATACCATGCTGAGTCAACTACCTCTTTATTGCTACTAGGTAAAACTCCGAATGTTAAAGTCACTTGCGACGGAAGCGCAGAACACCTTACTATATACCACATTGCTGCATACCGCGGCATGTTTGATTTTGTCAAAAAACTGCTCAAAAACTCGAAACGTTACGGAATCAAAGTGGATTGTCCAGATTTGAATGGGATTACACCTTTATATTTGGCCAAACTTAGTGCTGGTTCAGAAATTTCAGATGAGGTGAAGGTAGACAAATGGCTTAAAACGGTTGAAATAATTGAGAGTTATGGTGGTAAACTACGTTATCCACTGAGTTTGGAGGCAGAGCATCATGTGTTATACAGGCATCTATTCGGTAGTTTTCCATTCGATTTCAAATCAAATATGTTTAAAGATCTGCTAGTTTTGTATGGACATGACCCATTGAACACGTGTTTCAATAAGCGTAGAATTCATGCCAACTCTAATTTAATGCTCGAGTATATTAATTCCTCCATGGAGTTGACAGAACTTATTCGAGCTCTCCCTGAATTGGATGTGATGGCTCGTTTGTCATTGGTAAACATTTTAATGAATTTTAAAACAAAATTGAGTGACATTATACAAGGTAAATTAAGTACTCAAGAGGTAATAATTAAATTGCACATCAGAAGCACACGACTTCATGACATTATAGATGAGTTTCTTGGAGACCTTGAGGAGATAACAAACACAGCCATTGGTCATAATGCAATCCTTTCCAAAGCCATCAAAGAAAAACTAAACAAATGTGCCGAGATGAAACTGTGTTCACGATTCCTTAAAATAATGACTCTTGCTTTTCTGTATTTTAGGAAAGAAGCATCTGACATTATGTTAAAACGGGATAGCTTAAGTTTTTATCGTATGGGGAATATAAAACATGCGAATTTTACAAAATTCCGATTAAGGTTTTTACCTATTTTGGCGCATTATAATGATACAGATGATCCTAAGACTATTGCTGTGGGAATGCGTTACCTGTTGGACCTCGTTCTCAATAAAACTACAAAGTACGACTATCTGTGCAAGTTGTCACTAGGCATATCACCTGGCACTCGGTTATTTTATGATAACACAAAGATTAGAATTAACAAAGAAGATATTGAAGTTCATAGAAAATCAAAGTCAAGATTGTCAAGATTGGTTGGATATCAGAGAATGCAACTTTCGCTTTTAAGGAAACATGCGTCAACTTCATCGGGAGAGTAAAAAAAATGAAGTAATATAAAACTAACATGTTTGGTCCTAAAAGGAAATATGAGAAAAGTTTTGTTCAGAAAATGTTGTCAAATGATCTTATTTTTAAGCAAGAATTACGAATTGATCGTTTTCAACCATTCCCACCTGAGATTCAAAAGAGGAATGAACAATAGATTCTAAAATGAGAAATCCTTTGTCAAAGAAAGTCCTCCAAGATATACGACCGCTGTGACGTATAGTGAAAACAAATAATAATTAGACAGTACATAGAGATAGAATTTGACAATTTGATATTAATTAGAGACAGAAGTCCCTCGAGTAGTGTGTTTAAGATATAAATAGTTCTTTACAAAGAGAAGACTTTTGTGAGAGGTGCTCAAAATACATAGTTCATTATTTTTTAATAAATACATATCCATATACTATTATGTAAACAAAATAATGATTAATACTATTTTCACGTTGAACTCACTTATGAGTGGCTTTCCCAAACGTTTGAAACCCTAAATTACTTCATTTGCATTTCATTTTCAAAGTTTATCCCACTTCGCCTACCATGTTTCAGGGGTTTAAGAAAACCAATTTATAGAGGGGTGGTATAAAAGATGGTACGTTGAACGATGGTTTTTTTCTGCTACCAATTCATTTGCACTACCCCTGTACTCATATGTTTGAGTTCTTGTTAGGAGTCAAACTAAATCAACTTCAATAGAGTGAAGTCAACAAACCCGTGAAACAAACTTTGACTATGAACGTGTGAAAGACACAAGACGCATAAGCGCAATGGAACAAATTTTCCTCAGCTCCCATTGGTGAAGAGTCGACCATGGGACGTGGTCTAGTAAGTGCATAAAGCCTATTCGGAAAACTGGATGTTCGTCAAAACTTCATAGTTTAGTCACATACTATTTGTTTTTCGGAATAGAGTCATTTTCATCTGTCTGTGAAACAATTACTACTAGTCAGCGTTTAATAGTAACTATTAGGGTGTAGCAGGCTACCAAAAGACAAAATCAAAACCGTGTTTGCCTAATTAGTTTGTCGCATGTCGTAAGCTTGTCGTAAGTTTAACTATTGGGAGCTAATAGGGGGTAATAGTATTTAATAGAACAATTCCTATTTCACAGACGGATGAAAATGACTACTCTACTGTTTAACTAGTGTAATATCTATTTCACGGATATTTTGACTTCACTCTAACTATAACAATACATAAATACTTTGATCAAATAAAGTTTCTCTACTTACAACACTTTGACATCGAGKTCACATTAACCATAAAATACCTTATAAGACTAATACATTTTCAGCTTTTTGTTGCCGAATATGTAAATAAGATGATTATATCAATGTAATGGTAAACATGCAAGATCAAAGTCAAGTACTTGCAAAATCTATCTACAATGCAATATTTCTATGCAATACCATGAATGACTAGATTAAGGAAATGTAATTAGAGCAGAATTAGGTGTATTTTCACTTATTTTTCTCCTTCAATCTGACATTAAAGTGCTTATCACCTTTCACAATCAACCCCTATGTTTAATGAATTTTGAGTAGATCAAAACACAGAAATATTGCTATATGGTCCTATATTCTTCTGTTAAATAATGTTAATCGCATTCTAGCAATTTTTAAAGAAAATATAATTGTATATACAAACGTTTTGCGTATCATATCCAGATCATTAGATGATTTAAATTATATACATTAATGTGTCAATGATTCTGGCRGAAAGAATCTATATTTTAGAAAGACGTTCATTAAGAACGAGAATAGTCGTATAACGTATATTTACAGTTTGTACAAAATAATTCCACACGGCATGTTGGGATTGTTGCCATGTATTTCAATAGTATTCTAATAATTATTACTTGTGGGCTAACACACTGTAGCACTGTTTGTATCTGGTGAGAGGAGATACGATTGTAGCCAGTCTGCTAGCCATTTGAAAGATGGTCTATTAGTGGGGTCAATACTCCAGCATTTCAGCATTACAGAGTACCTACAACAGCAAGGCAATAGAATTTTTAGTTGTGCAAAAAAAAAAAAAAATAAATAAATAAATAAATTAAACACTGACGCAGCTCGTACTAGTTTACCGCTACTTTCTGCCAATAGAATTACTAGTGGAACATGTATCAGTAAGGGCAACATTAAAGAAACGACTCTTRAGCCTCTGTTCTAAACTTAAATTTATATGCAATTTTTTTGTAGTTTAGCAAATTATTACATAACCTTATTACATAACCTTACGCTACGCGTCGTGGTTTCCTACGCTTCTCTCGTGCTCTCCCTACATCCCACGTGTTTTGATCAGAGTATCAAACACGGAATTTCATCTTTTATTCCTTAAATAATAATTCATTATTAATGATAATAGATAATAAGTACTTACAGCTCATCAGAACAGTTCAGTGATTGTTGTAGTCTATTYCCAGATTCAAGGTGATTAATAAGATCATCAACCTGTATCCCTTGGTACGGCAATTCCCCATGTGTGGTTAGTTGCCAGAGAATGACACCAAATGACCACTGTTTAACATAAAACACACAGTGAGAAAGTTCTTAAACACAGTAAAACGATATAAAAAAACAAAAACACTGAAAAAATTCAAGTCATAATCATGTGTAACTTTGAAGATTTCAAAAACGATAGACTCCTTTGTGTTCTTTCTGCAGTCAAGTCAGTCGTTTAAATATACATCTTTAAATAACAAAATAACTTTCCACCAGATATTGAAAGTTCAGTGCTTACCACATCACTTTGATGTGAAGAAATCCCACTAATCAGGCAYTCTGGAGCCATCCATCTTCTATCCAAGTTTTTATTGTAAGTTGATAGCTTGACATTCAGGTCTTCTGTAATCCTAAAAATCACATTAAAAATACACTTTAGTTTTTTATAAATTGTTGGCTTTGAGAAACATGAATTTCTCAAAAGTAAGTGAATATATAAATAATGAATGTTGCTAGAGAGAATGGATGGAAGAACAAATGAACAAAATGAAAAAAAAAGGATGCATAAATAGACAGAAAGAAAAATGAAATGGATGGATGGATGAATAAACAAATGAGTGAATAAATAACACAATCAGTGGATAAATAATTAAAACTGCAAACAAGAATTACTAAAAACATTACATAATATGGATGAATGAATATCAAAAAGGAATAAAATAAAACACATGGACTGTTAAATKAGTAAACAAATGGATGGATGGAAGGTTGGATGGATATTTGGAAAATGATAAACTTGGAAATACAGAACAATATATAGCATCACTTTTAAATGTCAAGTCAARAATTGTTTACAACACCACTTACAAACATTCCTTTGCTGATAAATTTTTATAAACATGATTTTGACTTTGCAAGTAGTCAAGTGCTTCAGCAATCTTAAGAGCAATATCCAGACGCTGAAAGGAATTCAAAATAACATTAACTCAGTGAGTATGATGCACAGATATTATCCAAAATGGTAAGAAAAACAATATTAATCACAGACATATTAAATTATAAATTATAACTCACTAAACATTTATTTTTTCACTTTAGGGCGAGTTAAGACCAAATTAGATGGAGAAACTTTTGTGTACAACTATCCCATGCAACCTGTACAAGTCATCCTTACAACATAACTACAACTGTTGTAGAAATTTAAAACAGTTGCTTTTTAATAACTCCACGGCAGTTGTAACCATGTTGCAATGAAGACTTACATGCATGCAGGTTTCATGCAATGGTTGTAGGCAAAAGTTGAGTAATCTCATTCAGCCTTYAATTAWTTTTCAAAAATTTAAGTGACATTTTAATTAATACTATTTAATATATWATCAATAAAAATCAAAACACAATTTAGTTTTACCTGCTTGTTCGTCACCATTTTACAGTGCTGCCTCAGAAACTCATCCAGACTGACATATTTCTTGTAAGGCAGAATGATTTGTATTGAGGTATCGAACACAACGCCAATTGGTTTAAGAACATTTYGATGGTTGTACTGTTTTGCACTTAAAATTGACTCTAGCGCTTCTGATGCATCAGTGTCTAGTCAAACAGAAAGTATAAATACATGTGAAAATCATGTCTAAGGTATAAGACTTCTGAGAATACAAGCTTCATTTCAGAGAGAATGAAAAACTTTTAGCTCTATTATGTTTTTATGCTTTCTTTATTAAAAGGCTTTTGTTTGAGCAACACAGTCTGTTGCTCAAAGGTCAATAAGGACTAATCCTGGATTAACAGTTATGCACTGCCAAGAAATAGTTTTTTGACCATGACATTTAATACCATGTATATTGGTGTTTACCTTTGACAAGTTCAACTAAAACCTCCACGACTTCATCTTCACCAAAGTCATTTTGTTTCCTCAAGAATCCATGGTAAACATCTCCAAAACATCCTGAGTAAATAATAATGCCATTATTCACTAAAAAGTATCCACCAAGTTTTGGTCATAAAATGCAGTTTTGAGCAATTTCAAGTGTAACATAAGAAGGAGTCTTCAGTTTGTTGTGAYTTGAGCAACAAAAATGAAAAATATCCACAAATACTTTGAAGTTGCAACTAGGATGTTGCATGATAAAGAAAATGAGTTGTCTCTAGCTTGAAAAAACAATTTTAATGCAAATGTTTCGATCGCAGCTGCGATCTTCTTCAGTGCAGTGGCAAAATGCAAAGCTAGAGACAACTCATTTTCTTTATCATATCCAYWAATAAATCGYTTATAATAATCAGTTTAAAATGCAAACTTTCCTGACATAACTAGCTTACCTTTTCCAATATATTCTTTTATTTCTAATTGTTCAGGGTCAAGCAAAATATCAGATAAACTTTCACACCAACTGTTCTCTGTAAAAAAAAGCAACCACAAGAATGATTGACATGCATAAATTAAAAATTATTATAGGATAGTAATAATCAATATCAGTGATTCATCACTGTATCAATGTCACATGATAAACAGCCAATCTTGAAAAGATTGTCCACCTACACATACTTACACTTTTGAGATCATGTAAAATGGTCTGGAATGTCGGATGTGTCGGATATGGATATTACAGAACATAATAGACCAATCCCAAATTCGTTCGGATGAACACGAAACAATGACTTCATATCGAGGCTGGAGTTACTGACAAAAGATTAAACTCCAGCCTCGAAATGAAGCCATTGTTTCGTGTTCATCCAAGAAAAATCGTGACCAGTCTATTCCACGTGCAGAAACTGAATATTATATATCAAGACACAGGACAATCAGAACATTAGAAATCCAAATTTAGGTAGAAAACTTTTGAATATGGTCGGTATAGTGAATGGATTATATATCAATTCCCATATAAAACATGCTTACCTCTAGGACTATTGGATATTTCTTCCTTGGAAAATTTAACTTCAACATGTAACTCATCATCAGATTCTTCTTTRCCGATAAGCTCAAGGGTAGACGTATCACTTGCATTTGTTTCACTGCGTCGCCTTGGTCTTGCCACTCTCAGTTTATTACGCTTRGGTGAGTAYAACACAGGAGGTGGTGACTTGGATGTTGATGACGTTGACGGCTTGTGGATAGGTAAACTTGTCACCTTTTTTTKATCAAATTCCCTGGAGGAAATACAATTGAAATGTTTATCAAAAAGCACCTTGAAATAAAAGGCTACTTTGATGAAAAATGGCGAAAACTTGAAAAGGCACAAAATTCTTGTAGATTTATCAATAAGGGTCMTACAGAGTCGATTTTGTATGAGTGGGAAACGGACGGTACTGTACTGTGACCGTAATCGCACTGTAACCAAATTCTAGTGTCTCATTGGTTCACAAAAGTTGTGCAGGCCAGGTCTGGTAACTGTTCAGTAATCATGCGGTAATTTCTACCATACGTATTTTGACAAGACAACATCTTAGRAATTTTTATCAAAAGATTTTGTTCTTTCTTCTTTTGAGTCAAAATTTTCTCTGCTTTGGAATGACTCAATAACAAAACTTATTATTATTATTTTTATTTATATTATTATCGGTATAAATGAGTCATATATTTGAATTATGCAGCATTTTGAAATTGGTGCTTCTTTATGCAAGTATCACTTTATTCCATCTTGATTTTTTTCTGGAGATAATTAATACTATATTACAATAAAACCTTTATTTTATAACAATTAAACACACCTTTTCTCTTCGAAGTCCAAGTCATCTTCAAATGCCATCTTCAACTTCCTTTGCTTTGCATAATGCTTGCACAACAGGCCCAAACCAACAGACAGACATAAGAAGATAGTGATTCCTGCCGACAGGCCAACAATGGCAGCTCTGGACCAATGATTGAGAGAACTGCCTGACTCTGTGTCAGGYTCTTTTCCTGGAATATAAGGTATGGATGGTTTGATGGATGGTATGATGTTTAATATAACAAATAAACCTATGAGAACTCAGGAGTTTATCYAAAGTCTCTGTCATTGAGAATAGAAACATCACTGTGTACAGCTTCTTGTAATATGCAAATCAATATGTAAAAGTGTGTGTTGAAACAGTACCTGTCTTTTCACACCATTTCTTGACTTGAATTTTAAACATTTTTTGTGTCGATTGATTGATTGCTGTTCCAACCATCCTGGTATAGTTCAGCTGCATWGCAACATCCACTGYCCCCCCTTTCTTTCCAGTGCATTCTAGAGGGATATAAAAGGCTGAAAAAGAAAGAAAACAATGGTGAATTTATTYATTGYCGTTAMAAAATGTCATTCTAGTCTTCTTCCTCTTAATTTCTCAATCTCCCAGCTGGTTTTTAWAAGAGAAAAGCAACRYACTCAGTCCTAAACATACTTCATTACCAAATKTTTATGTATTTTATACTTACAGAGAACAGAATGAGGAACAAGACCTTTGTTGTTAATGGATGGTACAGGATCCTTCATCATGTCGCTATCACTTGATGACAGCTTTAWACTATAGTAGGTTGACTGTAAAATCAAATTAACTTATTAAAAACACTTCTAGAACTCATTAATAATTCATGAGCTATTAGTCCAATGAGCATCGAACTATTGGGTCACATGATGGGCCTTTATATCCCAATAAAGTACTGATGTTTTATTAATCA